GCGGGGGGCGGGACGGGGAGGGGGCGCGCCGACTCCGCCCAGGCCGAGCGGCTGTTCTGGCCCCCTCACCTCTGCGCTTCCGCCTCACCTGGCACCTGGCTGGGCCAGACGTTTGTGGACCGCCTCCTGCCTCCCGGCCCTGGGGGACCTGGGGGACCCCGAGTAGGGAGAAAGCGGACAGCTCCTGAGTCGGAGGGGCTCCGGGCGGCTGAGTCAGATGCCCCGGGCGACCTTGGGCTGCGAGGCCAAGGTTTGAGGCGAGCCGCCCGGCCTCGCCCTCCCGGTCCTTGCAGCTTGCGCTGGGGGAGAGGTGCACGTGGTTCCCTCCGGCCCTGCCAGGCCGCTGCCCTCTCTGCCCTTCACCCCAGACACCCTGGCTGGGCGCTGGAGGCCCCCAAGATGCTCGCGGCTCCTGGAGCCTCTAGTTTCCTGACCAGCGGTTGTGTCTGTGCCCGAGAGTCTGAGGCCACAGGAGGCTTGTCCAGCCGACACATCATCCCCCAGGGCTGAACTTTTTACTCTTTTGGCTCAGGGCCTCCGCCTTCGGTTTCACTCATTGTCTTCATTTCCTGGAGTCTGGGCTGTGCCTAGGCTGTGCAGGGGGGCGGCAGACTGGGTCCCCTGAGGCAGCGCTGAGGGCCTCAGGAGGGGGGAGGGGGAGGGGGGACGATAGCCTCCACGGTTGGTCAAGAGGTCGAGGGCAGTGTGCTGCAGGGCCCCCAGCCTGCCCCTCCCCCTCAGTTACAGGCCCCGGTGCCACAGATGGGACAGCCTGTGGGGACCCTTCTGGGCTGAGGCCCTTTCCAAGCACTTTCCTGCTGGGGGCATATTGACCCTGTGGGGCAGGACCCTAGTGAAGAAGAGGGTCTAGGCCAGCCACAGGTGCCTTCTGGGGAGGGAGGTGAGCAGGGCCTGAGGGGCTCCTCCTCGGGACCCAGGCTGTGCTGTGACACTGCCTTGTGATATCGGCCTTGGTCCTCACAGCCACCCTACCTCCTGGAGGAGGAAATGAGGCATAGGTGTGTAGACACCACTGGTCACCCAGGCAGGGAGCCCCCCCTCCTTACCTGGAGAAACCCATCACCTTCCTCTCTATGGCCCTGATGCTGGGGAAGGCAGGGTGTGTCTGTGGCAGGGTTGAGGATGCTGGGGAAGGAGATGGGAAAGACAGCGTAGAGCCCTTAAATCTCCCTCCCCCCCACCAAGGCCTCACATCTGTCCTCAGCCTGCCCTGTGTCCCCCACCCCCCGTTCCTGTGTGCTGCTGTGTCTTGCTGGGTGCAGGGAGTGATGACCAGGCAAAGTGTGTGCTGGCCTTGCTGTCCCCCTTCCCTCTGAGGTCACTGCTCCTTCCCTGAGCTGCCCCCTCCCAGTCCCAGCAGCCAGGGGGTCCCCCCCGAGGAGCCCCTAGCCCAGCTCCTGCACCTTTTCAGGGGCACTCTCTAAAGTCACTCCATCGAGACTTCCTGCCACCTTCTCTGCTTTCTCCTCTGCAGTGCCCTTCTGAGAGGGCCACTGGTCAGCCCCCATGCCTGGTGCCGAAAAATGCTCAATGTGTCTGACTGGCTAAACCAGCAGGCTTGGGTTCTGGCCCAGCATGGGTCTGGGCACTGCCCATGGCCATGAACAGGCCATACGGGTCTGCGCCTCTGAAGAGCTCTCTCTTCGGGAGAGAGAATATGGGATATATGAGGCAATGTCAGCTGTTGGGGGAAGATACAGTGGGGCATGTGACTGACCACCTGACGGTGCAGGGGTAGACGGCAGGCCGATGGCCGGGATGTGGCTTGGGAGCTGTACTCAGTTGTGGGCTTTGGGGTCAGACAGGCGTGCAGTTAAGTCCTGACGCTGCCACTCACTCTCGGCGTGTGTCCTTGGACAGGTCACTTCCCTCTTGAGCCCAGGTTTCTGGGCTGAAAAGGGGTGGGTGGTCTACGTGGGGGGTTGTGGAGGGGATTAAGCCAGAGGATGCCTTGTGTTGCACTGAGCAGGGACTTGGGTGCCGTGGACTGGAGCATGCCTGCAGGTCAGCTGGTCAGCGTCCCTGGGAGTGGGCACAGGGTGGCCTTCGTCCACAGGTGCACGTGGGAGCCTGTGCCCTTTCCCCCAGAGGGCCTGCGGAGCAGTCTTATGTAACCATAACTGCCAGCAGGGGGCAGGGGCCGGGCAGGACGGAAGGGCAGGCCAGCACCTGCCTGCTGGGGCCCCTTCTCGGCCCCGCCAGGCCACTGCCTTAGTCCCTGTGATTCACAGCCCTTGGCTGCAATTCCCTTTTTTTTTCCTTCTGCAACATCCAGTGTCCAAACTTTCCTAGAGTTTGCAGCCTCGCAGGGGCGGGGGTGGCAGGCGAGGGGGCTGTCCAAGTAGAGGACAAACCTTCACGCCCTCTGGTGTGTGCAGCTCAGGCCTGGGAGGAGCCCCACCTCTCTAGATTCTCTGTGGCCACCAGACCCTGCCGGCCTGGAGCTGGTGGGACTGGTACCCCTCAAGACGCTCCTCTTTATTTTAGTGCCCTTCTCAGCCGAGGAGGAACCCCGAGTGGCAGTGGGGCACCTGAGCCCAGGATGGCGAGCAGGCCGGCGGGACCGCGAGTGCCTGGCGGAGTGGCACGTGCAGCCCAGGACTCCCGGCTCCCACCTCCTGCTGTAGGTGCGGCCCTGCTCCTTCCACGGCCCCGTCCCAGGCTTCGTGTGCACAGGGCTGGGCCAGCTGGCTGGGACGGGCCCAGCAGCCCCCTGGACATCGAGTGCCCACCAGGCTGAGCTCCAGCACCCAGCGGCCGTCCCTTCACTCAGCATCCCCGCCCCTGTGGGCAAGAGCATTACCGCCCATCTGGGGCCTGCAGGGATGGCTGGGGTTGCAGTCACACCCGCCCCACTCAGGATGGCCCACCCACACTCAGCGCTGTTTGGCCAGACCAGACCTTGGGGCTCATCCCCACGGGGCGTGGGGCAGCTGGGGAGAGGGAAGGGCAGAGGCCTCCCAGCTCTTGCTTGGGTCTTTCCTCCCACACACTGGGGCTGTCGGCGAGATGGAAAGGCTTTTGCAGGGGAGAAGGTGGCCGAGAATGGCGCCCGGCGAGTGGGGTGGGATAGAGTGATCTCGTCGCGTCGGTCAGGACGCGCCCCACCTGCTGGAGGCCTGGCCAGTGTAGGGGAGGTGGGAGACAGGTGGCAGTAGGGGTGCTCGAGAGACCCTTGGAGGGCCACCTGTGTGCCTGGACCATGGAGCTCTGCGGGGGATCTGGGACCCAGAGAGCTGGGGGCTTCTCCGGCCTGCAGTCATGGGCCTGCCTCAGGGCTGGGGGCTGCAGGTGTGAGCTGAGCTGCCGGGCGCTCGGGCCTGCCAGAGAGAGACCTCACCCGCTGGCTGCAGCACCCAGCTGCCCTGCGGTTTGGGGAAGTGCCCAGGCTGGGCCTGGCCTGGGGACGGCGGGTGTGGCCTGAGGCTGCTCCTGGAGCTTTGCCAGGCAGTACCTGGGCTTGGGACCGTTGCTGACTGTCTCCTCCCCATTCCCACAGTCCAGGGCCGAGGCTCGTGTTCAATCGGGTGAATGGCCGGCGCCCCCCCGCCACATCCCCATCCCTCGAGGGGACCCCGGAGATCTACACGCTGGCACACGAGGAGAACGTCCGATTTGTGTCCGAAGGTAGTGTTGAGGCCCGAGGGTGCAGCCTGGACCACTGGTCCTCTTCCGACTATAACCTGACTCGCGGTGGACAGAAGGCTGGGTTCTGCCTGGGTGTCCTGTGACCAGCCAGCAGGCTGCCTGCTCCCAGCTCTGGGCTGGGGTCCAGATAGCTACTAGGCCCTGGGGTGGGGTCCAGGGTGCCAGGGCCCTGGCTCAGCCTGATTGCCCTCTCCCCACAGCCTGGCAGCAAGTGGTGCAGCAGCTGGGTGGTGGCCCAGCCAGTGAGAGTGGGCCCCGGCCTGTGCAGTACGTGGAGAGGACCCCCAACCCGCGGCTACAGAGTGAGCCCCCTGCCCTGCACTCAGGGAGTTCCCTCCACTCCCTCCGACCCTGAGCTGGGCCCTGCCAGATTTTAACCCCAGGGGACTGGGGATGGGACAAACCTGACCCGCTTCTTCCCAGCACCGGCTACATTTGGGGTCCAGGTGAGGGGCTGGTGGTCAGCTGGAGGGGAGAGGCACTGACCTGTCTGGGAGGTGGCTTCACTGCCCAGCTTTCTGCTCTGCCCACAGACTTCGTGCCCATTGACCTGGACGAGTGGTGGGCACAGCAGTTCCTGGCCAGAATCACTAACTGCTCCTAGCCGCCACCTCGGGGGCAATACTGTTGCTGCAGGGCCTGGCCCCGCCCCACACGGACCCTCTGCCAGGAGAGGACCACGGCGCCCTGTCCACCCGCCGCCGCAGGCTGTGCTTCACCCTGGGCCTGGCCGGGCGCCAGCCACACCTGAAGTGCCAGCATTTGGACTTTTGCACCTGCTGACCCCTCGGCCCAGCTGTCCCAGGCTGCCAGGGGTGAACCTGTGTGACCTCAATCCTGCTCACTGTGCCCCAGGACCGCCCCTGGAGCTGGCAGGGAGGAGCTGCAGGATAATAAAGTCGAGAAACTGCCCTTTTGGAGCGTCCTTTACTTGTGTGTGGGGGGGGATCCTGTGTCCCAGCGCCAGGCCCAGCCCCACTTCCCCTTGTAGCCCCATCCCCCCACAGCTGCAGCTCTGCCCAGATCTGGCCCTCAGCCTCCTGCACAGCTGCCCTCCTGTGTTCTCCTGACGGAGGTGCTGGGGCCCTGGCCCAGCTCATCTTTTTTGGAAGTCTCTGGACCCCACCCTGCCCGACCTGACTCCCACTCCCTCCTCTCCATCAAGGCCCAGAGATGTTACCTAACTGGCCCTGGGATGGGGTCCTAGCTGTCCAGAATTGGGGTCAGGTATCAGGACGCCTGGTCCTGTGTCTGAATTCCCCAGGTCTGGCTGTGGGACAGTGGGTGAAGGTGTCCCACAGGTCTGTGGGCAGCCCTGGGGAACAAGCATGGGAGCTCGGGTTGCCGACCCTCGGGGCCCCGGGGGACGCACTTTGCCTGTTGGGCAGGGTGACCTTGACTGCGGCTGACACAGGACAAAGTGGAGTACCCCGGTGTGCACGCTGCCTGCAGGGGGCTTTCCAGCAGCGGGGGGCAGCCCGGGCTGTCGGTACGTGTGGACAGCACCTGCCAAGTGCAGCCCCACAAATATGGGGGTGCATCTCATTCCGGATATACAGATGCGCCCCCCAGGGTCTCGGCTGGGGAGTGGCCGCACGGGCTGGGGCGCGACGGCGGAAGGGGTGACCGGAGCAGGCTGGGCAGGGTCTTGGGGCGCCCCGGAAGGCTGTAGACCCGAGGGGGTGTGTCCCGCCTCGCGGTCACGTGGCCCGGCGTCGCCGTGGCGGCGGAAGTGGCACGGGTTGCCAGGCGGCGGTTGCTAGGCGCGCGCTGCGTGCCCTGCGTGGGGCGTGGCGGCCAAGGCGGGAAGCGCGAGTGGCGGCGCCATGGCGCGAGGTAGCGGCGCGCGGCGGGCTGGGGTCCGGGGTGAGGGTGCGGAGTGTGAGGTCCAGCGCCGGGTCGCAGCGCCCGCGCCGCCCGGGTCCGCGGGAGGGTTGGTGCTGAGACTTACCCCGGGCCCGGTCCCTGCGCTGTGGCTGCTGTCACTGCCGGGAGCGCGCAGACCCAGCTCCTGCTCTCCTCCCGGGAGGGTCTCGAGGCCCCACACCGGGTCTGGCACCTGGGGGCAGGTTCTCATGGCTGCGTGTCTCCCAGCATGGCAGCACCCATTCCTCAACGTCTTCAGACACTTCAAGGTGGACGAGTGGAAGCGGTCCGCCAAGGAGGGCGACGTGGCCACCGTGACGGTGAGTGGGCCCAGGGCCGGCAGCAGGAGCTGGGGGCCCCTCCTCCCCGGGGACGTGGCGGCACCACCTGAGGGTCCGGCGGGTGATGCCCTCCCGGCGCTCCCTGGGTCTTTGGGGGACGCTGGCTCCCGTCTTTCTCTCCAGGACAAGACCTTGAAGTGCACCGTGTATCGGGTCCGGGGTTCTGTCTCTGCCGGCAATTACATCCAGCTCCCCAAAACCAGCACCCAGTCCCTGGGGCTGACAGGACGATACCTGTATGTGCTCTTCCGGCCCCTGCCCCCTAAGCACTTCGTCATCCACCTGGACGTGTCCACGGAGGTGCGGAGCTCAGGAGTGGGGGACTGCACGTGGGGGCCCTGCGCTCCTGCTACCCCCTCTCCTTGCCTCATTGCTGTGCGCTGTCCCTGCAGGACAGCCAGGTCATCCGCGTGTCCTTGTCAAACCTCTTCAAGGAGTTCAAGTCCACAGTCACATGGCTTCAGTTCCCCTTTATCTGTGAGGCCGGAACATCCAAGAAAGGTGACATGGAGATAGGGCATGAATGGGACACGGCTGTTCCAAGAGAGGCAGCCTGAGAGCAGAGAGGGAGGTGGTGCAGGCTGAGGGGCAGGTGGGCAGCGCAGCCTGGCTCCTTCATGGCCTGAGGGGACACCTTGTGGGGGGACAAGTGGTTGTGGCTGTGGGAGTGGGGGCACGCCAAAGACAGTGCTGCGGGCCGGCTGATGAGAGGGTCAGCACTGACCTTGGCTCACGGCCCGCAGACCTGGCAGGTGTGCCCCCCACTGGTGCCCGCTGGACCTGCCTGCAGCTCGACCTGCACGACATCCTCCTGGTCTACCTGAACCGGCGCTACGGCCACCTCAAGGGCGTCAGGCTGTGTGCCAACCTGCTGGTCAGGAGCCTCTATACCAGCGACCTATGCTTTGACCCCGGTGAGGGCCGTGCCCTACACCCTGTGCTCAGCCTGCAGTGTGCTCCCATTCCCTGCGTGTTGGCCTCCACTCCCTCCTTCCCCCAGGTCCTCAGCCCGGGAGGGTCCTACGTCCCTGACACTTGATGAAAACGCCCGCGCCATGCCATCTTTGAGCCCCCCACCTCCCGAGGCACCTGTGGGGGGAGGTGCTGGTTGGGCTGGTGGGTCTGGCAATACCCTGGTGGCACCTGGTGTTGAGTCTTGCCTGGGCTTGGAGAGGGAGCTGGACAGGCTTCCCTTGGTCTACAGCCACTCTGCTCTTTGTAGCTGTCACCGCCACGGAGGCCCGGCGGGCAAAACTGCCTGTCACTCCCATGCCACGAGAAATGGCGTTCCCAGTGTCGAAGGGGGAGAGCTGGCATGACCGCTACATCCACATCCGGTGAGCAGCTCTGCCTATTCCGTGGGAGGCTGGGTGGAGGGAGAGCAGGGTGGCCCCTGGATCTGACTCCCTCCGCCCCACCAAGGTTTCCAAGCTACAGCTCAAAAGCACTCTCCAAGCCGGTTCAGAAGAGCTGTGTCCCTCCTGAGGCAGGTGGGCCTGTGGGGTCAGTGGGACCCTGGGTTCAGGCCTGCAGGGTGCTGGGAGTTCAGTGGGAGGGGGGCACCTGATGCTGCATCTGGGGAGGTGAACCTGGCGGTGTGGTGCGTGCAGGAGCTGGGGCTAGCCTAGAGGTCGTCTCGAGGTCCCAGAGTTGCGTAGGGGGTTGTGTGCAGGGGACCTCCCGGCCTCACGCATTCCAGCTGGGAGGGGGCGTCAGGGCCCAGGGTGGAAGGGTGGGCTGCAGCTGTCCATGTGGCTTCTCCCCTGCAGAGCGGGTGAGGCCAGGGGCCACAGCTGCCCCTTACCACCCCTTGTCCAATGTCTTGTGGTCACGTCCCCCCAGGCCTCTCGGCACTCTGCTCCACTGCAGGCTTCCCGGGGCATGTGCCACGGCTTCTCTCTCACCTGGCAACCTTCAGCAAGCCCACACAGGACAGCGTGTCCCCCGTGGTCCAGATGCTTGGCCCCACAGCTGTGAGTGACCCTGTGCCCCTGGAGATGGGGCTGGAGATCATGGCCCCAGGATGCTGATGGCCACTTGTCCCCGTGCAGTCCTGCCGAATTCCTTCAGCACCCAGGCCCCTTCCAGAGGTCAGCCTGTTCTGTGAGCACTCAGAGATCTCCAGTGTGGGTGGCCCCAGTGGCCAGAGCCAAGAGCCCTCAGCCTGGGAGCAGGCCACTGACAAGCATGCAACTGGCAGCAGCATTCATGTGTCTGCCCATGAGTTGGCTGTGGTGCCTGTGGCCCCCGAGGATGTGGCCCTGCACGAGGTGAGCGCCTGTCCTGAGGAAGAGGGGGTGGGCCATGCCATTGAGGTGGGTGGGGCCTGGATGAGACGTGGGTAGGGAGCTGTTGAGCTGGTGCCCGCCATGAGCTGTGCGTGGGGCAGATGGGCTCTGATGGTCTTTTCTCATCCAGCCTCCCTGCAGAAAGCAGAGCGGGCAGGAGGCAGCTTTGGGCAAGAATCGTTTTCAACAAAGAGTAAGGAGAGGCTGTGGCCCTGCTCCCCACTCCCAGCCTCAGGTGGTGTCGGGGCTCCGGGCTCCAGGCAGGGGCAGGACCCAGGGTCCCTGGAGGGTCTGGCACTGCGACCAGAATCCTGGCTTCCTGCCACAAAGCAGTGGGCAGTAGCCACCCAGGAGCACGTGGCTTTCTCGGGAGGCAGGAGTCCGGGGTGGGGGAGCCCTGGGGTGACAGGGGCCTCCCTCCTGGGGTCTCACTGGGAGTTTGTCTGTTTCAGAGCTTCCTCCCAGATCCCATCCTGAGGCTCAAGGGGGTCATCGGCTTTGGGGGCCACAGCACCAAATGGGTGAGGGGTCCCATGCTCTTGTGGGGTTGTACAAGTGTCAGATACACAGAGGGGACAGTGGGAGGACCCTGTGTCCCCCTGAGGTGGCTGCGTGGATGTCTCAGCTCCCTCAGGGTGTCAGGTCCCTCACCCCCTGTGGACGCCCAGCCCTGCCCATGTCTGCACGCGGCTCCTGGGCTCTTCCTCGGTGCCTCCCGCACAGGCCTCCCCTTGTTCTCCGTGGGCGTTGGCTGGTTAGTGCTGGTCTGAGCGCTCGAGCTTCCACTCCAGAGCCCCACTCGCTCTTGACGGCTTTGATGCGTGTTGTCCAGGCGTGATCCCGACCTGCCACATGGGCCGGCGTGGGTGCGATTGTGGGTCCCTGTGGTGAGGGGCAGTCAGAGGCTTGTCAGGCACTCCTGGACTCAGACTCCAAGTCTTTGGGGGCCCTCTGGTCTTTCGTGTGCCGAATCCCAGTTTCTCGTGTTGTGGACAGGGTATAGAAGAGATTCTGTGTGTACACGTGTTCACATGTGTCTGTGTTTTCTCTCTTCTTTCCGTGACTTGTGTGTGTGACATGGGGAGGGGTGTGCTGGGGGGGATGAGGCCAACCAGTCCGTGACCTCAGCCTCTGGCCCCTGTGCACAGGCCCTGTGGACCAAGGACGGGGCTGCCGTCGTGTACCCCTGCCATGCAGTCATCGTTGTCCTGAACATTGAGTCCCGGGAGCAGCGCTTCTTCCTCGGCCACACGGAGAAGGTGGGCGCCGCCAGCCAGGGGTGGCTCGCGCCTACAGTCTGCACGTCCCCCTCAACCTGCCACCTCCCCAGGTCTCTGCCCTGGCACTGGACGGGAGCAGCTCGCTGCTGGCCTCGGCCCAGGCGCGGCCCCCCAGCATGCTGCGCCTCTGGGACTTCCAGACCGGGGGCTGCCTGTCTCTCTTCCGGAGCCCCGTCCACACCATCTGCTCCCTCAGGTGGGTGCGGGGCCTCCGAGGGGTGTGGGGGTCAGCCCCGTGACGCTGACCGCCTCCTCTCACCTGCAGCTTCTCTGACAGCGGGGCACTGCTCTGCGGCACCGGCAAGGACCGCCACGGGAGGACGGTAATGGCCGGGCTGGGGAGGTGGGGTGCTCGTCCCAGGGTGCAGGCAGAGTCCAAAGCCCGAGCCCTACGGAGGATCTTGTGTTTCACACGAGTCCTCACGGAGGGAGCCAGCGTTGAAGTGACTGGCCTCACCCTGTTGGGTGGTGTGTCCTGTAGCCGTGAGACAGCCGTGCCGTACATGTCAGCTTTTCTGAGGTCAGGCATATGTGAAGAGCCGGTGTTTCACCCCGGGGCCTTAGCTCTGCGTGGGAGTTCGTGTCTAGTTTGGTTCTGCAGACACTCGAGGAGGCATGTGTGGGCTCCTCTGGGCCATGGGGGCCAATTTCCCTACGCCCTCACCAGCCGGGCACTCGCACTGGTTTCTGTAGGAGGAAGAGCCGAGGCCTGGTGGAGGCCGGGCAGGTGTGCGGGCAGGCCGGGTGCGCTCAGCGCGGGCTTGTTGCAGGTGGTGGTGGCGTGGGGCACAGACCAGGTGGGGCGAGGTGGCAAGGCGGTCGTTCTCGCAAAGGTGCACACTGACGTGGACATCCAGGGATTCGAGGTTGCCTTTTTTGATGAAACCAGGTGACGAGGCTGCCCGCCCACCCACCCAAGGTGCCGGGATGCTGGCCCTCCCACACCAGTCCTGTCCCTCCTCCCTGTCCACAGCGTCGGGTCTCCCGCGGGGGTCGGGTCTCCTGCTGGGGTCCGGCGAGGCTCACCCTCACGTACCCTTGCAGGATGGTGTCGTGCGGGCAGGGCAGTGTGCGGCTGTGGCGGCTGCGACATGGGGGGCTGCGCTCCTGCCCCGTGGACCTGGGGGAGTACCACGCACTGGAGTTCACTGACCTGGCCTTCGGGCAGGACCAGGACGGCTGCACGCTGTGAGCCCTGCTCTCCCTCCCCTAACCAGGTGGGCCCTGCTCCCGCCTGCCCCCTTGGCCCTCACCTGTCAGTTCCTCTGGCAGCTACGTGTGCGGCCGCAGTGGCCACATTCTGGAGGTCGACTACCAGCGCATGGCTGTGCGCCACGCTCGCCGCCTCCTGCCCATGCAGACCCCCAGCGGCCCCCTCCCACAGAAGCAGACCTTCAGCTCGGGTAGGTGGGTCCCCTGCTGCATGGGGGCAGCAGCCCTGATGCTTTGGGCTGACACTGCCTGCCCCTCAGGCCCTGGCATCGCCATCAGCAGCCTCAGTGTCTCCCAGACCATGTGCGCTGTAGGCTCTGAGGATGGCTACCTGCGCCTGTGGCCCCTGGACTTCTCCTCTGTGCTCCTGGAGGCAGGTGGGGCCGCCACAGGAGGGTCATGTCCCTGGGCCATCCTTGGGCTGGACAGCAGTCAAGGGGCTCTAAGGGGCTGTGTCCCGGGCCTGGGGGTCCACCATTGCTGAGCCCAGGAGGGGGTGGTCGTGGGGGAGCTGCCTGTCCCACACTACAGGGAGATGGGGCTCTGGGTAAAGGGTTCATGTCCTGGGAGGGCCAGGAAAGAGGTGCAGCCTGGATACGGCCAGCCTGCCTAGGTTGGCCCTGGTGCCCAGCCCACACCCCACTTCAGGCCTGGGAGGTCACCGACCGCCCTGCCTGCAGAGCACGAGGGCCCCATCAGCTCTGTCCGCGTCAGCCCCGATGGCCTCCGTGTGCTGTCCACCACCTCCTCGGGCCACCTCGGCTTCCTGGACGTCCTGTCCCGGGAGTACCACGTGCTGGTGCGCTCCCACACTGCTCCGGTGCTGGCCCTTGCCACCAAGTGCAGCCAGGAGCAGCTGGCCACTGTGTCCCAGGACCACACCGTCCGGGTCTGGGACCTGGTGACCCTGCAGCAGGTGGGGTGCCACTGGAGAGGAGCTGGCCGGGAGAGAGGGACTGGAGGGCCGCAGGCCACACTGAGGCCCTGTGGGCGGAGCCTAGCCGGGTGTGGGGTCGGAGGGCGTGCCTGTGAGGCCCTTGGTCTCTCTGCCTATGTTTGGGGCCCAAGGCTTCAGGCCACCTGGAGAGATGGCTGTCAGGCTCTGTGGCCCGTTAGTAGCCCTTAACCCTGCCTGCCCTCACGTGGCCCCCACCCTCCAGCTGTATGACTTCACGTCGCCCGAGGAGGCCCCGTGCACCATCGCCTTCCACCCCACACAGCCAACCTTCTTCTGTGGCTTCAGTGGTGGGGCCGTCCGCTCCTTCAGCCTGGAGGCCACCGAGGTCCTGGTGGAGCACAGGTGGGGTGCCTAGCCGGCCCGTGGCCCCACAGATGTCCACGGTGGAAGCTTGGGTGGTTTGTGGGTTCCCCTGGAGAGTGTGGGTGGCCAGGCAGGGTGGGGGAGGGCCATACAACGGAAGCCCCTGCCCTCCACTGCCCTTTGGAGATTCTGCCAGGCCCAGCTGTGGGAAGTCTGAGATGGTGCAGCTCAGGGTCAAGGCAGTGGGCGTCCCCGTGTGGTGCAGGTGTCACCGAGGAGCTGTCATCGGCTTGGCTGCCAGCCCTGACGGGAGCCTCCTGTTCAGCTCCTGCTCTCAGGGCACCCTGGCCCAGTACCACTGCGCTGCCGCCCGGTGCCGTCTCCTGCGTGTGGCAGGTCAGGCCCCCACGCCCAGCCCCAGTGGCCTCTTGACCATCCCCTCATCAGGTCCCTGTGGGGCTGGGGCTTGCCTAGCACCCACAGATGATAGTGGTAAGCTGCCTTCTGTGGCTTAGATGCCCCAGAGCAAGTGTGGTTTTAGGATTCACCAGCCCCCTAAAACTCAAGGTCGGTGAGGGTTTGTGCTTGCCCTGCCCCAGGAGGAGGCAGACGGTCTGAGTACCAGGCCAGCAGGTGGGGGACAGCCCACCCAAGGGCATCTGCCTCCTCCCATGGCCACCGTAACGTGGACTGACCAGGTGGTCGCTCCTGGCCCAGGAGAACCTCCAGCTCTCCTGGCGGTACCCGGTCCCCAGGCTCTGTGGGCTGCTGGTGTGGGATCTGCCCATCCTGGGCTGGGGTTTCTTGCAGTTGGGGGCAGGTTTGGGTCCCAACCTATGTCTGCTCCAGGCACCCCCTCCCCACCCAGCTGACCACCTGCCCCCCTGCTGCCGGCAGCTAATGTGGTGTGCCAGGATGCCCACCCGAGCCCCAATGCCCTGGCGGTCAGCAGGGACAGCTACCTGCTGGCCTTTGTGGGCCCGTCCAAGTACACGGTGACCATCATGGACACAGCCTCACTGGACAAGGTAAGTCAGCTGGAACCTTCTGTGTGTCCAGTGTGGGTGAGGCCGTGCCAGCCTGGTTGGCAGACCCTGTCAACACCCCTGACTCTGACTGCTGCGTGACTCCCCTGGTTCGACCGGGGCAGGGAGCGGGCAGGGGCTCTTCTTGGCCTGGCCTGGAATGCCGGGGTCTCGAGGGGGCAGGTGGGAGGCCATGCTTATTCCAGGGAGGACCCCAGCCCTGCTGCCCTCACTCAGGCACAGAGGACGTGTAAGTTGTGGGGGCCCGGAGGGCCGGGTGCTGGGTAGGTACCTGAGGCTGCCCGCCTCCTGTGCCCTGGCTCTAGGGGTGTGAGCTCTGGCCAGAGGTCATGGCCGATGGCCCCTTGCTCTCCCCCAGCTTCTGCAGGTTGATGTCAGCGCCCTGGGCCTCGCCAGCAGCCGCCTGGACTCAGCCGTGGCTGTCTGCTTCGGGCCTGCACCGCCCAGCCACCTGCTGGTGTCCATGTCGTCCAACGTGGTTGTGGTGCTGGACGCCACGTCAGGGCGCACGGTCCGGGAGGTGAGCCCAGGGTTGCGGCCAGCAGTTTGGCCTCCCCCTCCCTTCCGGCTCTGGCCTGGGTACCCACACTGCCTTGAGGAGGGGTGGCCGCATGCTGTTCCCGAGAGGTGGCATTTTCTGAGAAGGGCAGCTTCCCCCGTCCGGGGTCCTGTGTGCTCCCCTCCCCCCTCTCCTGCAGCTGTCCAGTGTCCACCCCGCGGCCTGCCCTTCCCTTGCTCTCAGCGGGGATGGCCGCTTCCTGCTGACGGCCGCTGACCGGGCCATCAAGGTGTGGGACTACTTGACGCGAGCCAGCCCCGGCTGCCAGGTGTGTGCTGTGGGCGGGGGGAGGGCGGGCGGAGGAGATCCCCAAGCTTCCCCTGTGCCCGTGGGGCTTAACACCGCACAAGAGCCTGGCTCCGGCCCCGGTCTGCTGGGCGTGGGGATTCACGGCTGGCCCTGAGTGCTGGGAGGACAATGGCGTCCCTGGCCACACTTCAGGAGTCTCCACATGTGACACTCACTGTCCCCAGATGTACATTGGCCACTCGGAGCCTGTGCAGGCCGTGGCCTTCACCCCTAACCAGCAGCAGCTCCTCAGCGTGGGGGACGCCATCTTCCTCTGGGACATCTTGGTCTCCCCTGAGAGGTCGCCCCCAGGAAGGCAAGTACCTGCCCTTGACCTGTGTCTGTCAGTGCTCCTGCTGCACCCTCCCCACCCGACACCCTCTCTCGTTGCCTTTACAGCATCCAAGGCTCGCCTGGGGGACCCCCGACCTGTGAGGCTGGTGAGTGGTCCCGCCACACTGGCAGGCTTGGTGGTGACATCTGGTCTGGCACTGCAGCTGCTTCGTTTCCTGGGGGTCCCAGTGCAGAGCTGGGGTGGGGATCGGGGGCTGGGCACGCCTCCCCCTGTGTGCTCTGCCGTTCTCAGGCCCCGAGCACAACTTGGCTCCTTCCATCCTCAGGCCCAGGTGCGAGGCAGCCGGAGGACACAGTGTCCGGAGCCGATGGGCTCCCCCGGCGGCAGGTGCCCGTGCCATCCCAGACAGCCCCGCCCTGGCTGGGCGCCTGTGTCGGGCCTCCAGAGGGTGGTGATGGTGAGGGCGGGGGTCCTGGGAGGGCCTGGGCAGGCACGTGCGTCCGCTCCCATCTTGGTGTGTTTCCTGGTTCCAGGCCTATGGGGAGGGGCAGGGGTGTGGGGGGCTCCCTCCCTCCTCTCACGGCCCCCCACCTCCCCAGGCACTTTCTGTGTGTCAGATGACGAAAGACCCTCTGAGGAGAGCCACGGCCCCAAGGGGCTCCGCCAGGCCTCAGCCTCAGCTGTGCTGCTGAAGGAGGCTGACGGGGCCACAGACGGGGCCTGGGGGGCTGCAGTTGACTCCTGGGGCCTCGGCGTGCCTCCCCATCCCTGTGGCCAGCCTAGTAAGCAGGGGAGGGGTGGCAGGGTGGGCTGGGGACACTCGTGATCCAGCCAGGGCCCAGTTGCAGGCACCCCGTGGACTCTAGATGGCCTGAGGGCGGCCCCCCTGTCCCTGAGAGACCGAGAGTCACCCGTGAGGCAGGGTATGGTCACTTGCAGGGTGAGTGGACGAGCCTGAGGTGGGCGGTGGGATGCGGCTCATTTGTGCCCTCTGATCTCGACTGTCTGACCCCAAGTTCTGACCAGGTCAGGCACTGCTCCCATGCAGCCAGGGCAGTAGGACTGTGTGTGGGGAGGGGTCTCTGATGGGTTTGATGTCCAGTGGCCTCCCCCTCCTCCCTGCAGATGCCCAGAGCACCAGGAGAACCAGAGCCCGGCCTGCCACCTACCCGGACTCCTACAAGCCCTTCACGGCATGTTGCAAGGCCTCCCCGCTGGCCAAGGTAGGCCAGATGGGGGTCCTCACAGCCCTGCCACAGGCAGATACCCTGGGGGCCCAGGGGTGGGGAGGCATGGTCTGCGGTTTTTGGGAGCACACTTTCTCCCCAGTACATGGTACCCCGGGTCTCCCTGGGGCTGCTCCCAAAGCCGACGGCAGTCACCCATGAGCCCCCCTTCACCCTGCACCCCACACTCTGGCTGGGCTGGTTAAGGCTCTCGCTATCCCACGGACACCCAGACAGGACCCGGGCAGTGTCTTGCTGAGCCCACTCTGTCCATCCCACGTTCCTGGCTTCCTCCCACCTCCTCCCCATGCCCTGTCCTGCCGCCCTGCCTCCCTGTGCTCCAGGTACCTCCCACACGTCTCCCTCCAGCATCCCTGTCTGCTCCCTGGCTCCGTCCTGGCTGGCCTATTGTGTGCAGCCTTCAAGGCCCAGGCTCCTGCCCTTTGTCTCCTCTGGGAGCGTGCACCTCCCGTGGCTGCGTCTCAGGCCCCGGCCTGACGGGGCAGAGCCTGAGCTGGTGGGGTGGGTGGGTGCTGTGTGGCGCACCAGCGTCCTGGGTCCACTTCCTCGCAGAGCGTCTCCTTCCCCCCTGCCAGTGGCGAATGGCTGCGCCTGAAGGCCGTCGTGGGCTACAGCGGAAACGGGCGAGCCAACGTGGTCTGGAGGCCAGACACAGGTAGGGCCCACAGCCCACCCCAGCGGGGCCCAGCTCTGTCCACTCCGAGGCCAGGATCCAGGAAGGGCAGAGGAGCACCTACGTCATGGGTGGTGTGGGCTACAGGGCAGGAGGGGCGCTGGCTGAGGGGTGGGGCATGTTCTGGTGACACTGCCTGGTGCTCCAGCCTCCTCTGGGCCGGAGTTTTCTGGGTGGGCTTAGCGTCAGCCCTCTTGGCTCTGGAAGCTGACGGGGAGGACACATCCTGGGCCAAAGCTGATAGGCTCAGGGGCGCTCTCCCTGCCTACAGGCTTCTTCGCTTATGCGTGTGGCTGCCTGGTGGTGGTGGAAGACCTGCACTCTGGTGCCCAGCAGCACTGGCTCGGCCACCCCGAGGAGATCTCCACACTGGCCCTCAGCCACGACGCCCAGGTGCCCCCCTGCTTCCTACCCTGCATGCCTCGGCGCCACGGTGCATGGGGAGCCTGGCTCCTTGAGGGCCTCGGCCGGCTCTCCCCTCCAGAGCAGTGCAGGGGATGCTGTTCCACCCAGAGCCAGGTGGCCCATGGACCTCGGTGCCCTCCCAGCTGACCGCCCACCCCCCTGCCCACCAGGTCCTGGCCTCTGCCTCAGGCCGCAGCAGCACTGCCTCCCACTGCCAGATCTGCATCTGGGATGTGTCTGGGGGCTCCTGCCGGCAGCTTGTTTCTCACCACGACACTGCCGTGCGAGCCTTGGCTTTCTCACCGGATGATGGGCTCCTCGTCACACTGGGTCAGCAGGAGCGGTGGTGGGCGGGGAGAGGACAGTGGCCTCCAGACTCCCCTGCCAATCCTGGGACCCCTGAGAGCTGACGTGGCCACCCTGTGTCTCCTGCAGGGGACTATGGCGACTGCACCCTGGCCCTGTGGAGCATGTCTTCCTGCGAGCTCCTGTCCTCCACGCGCCTCCCAGAGCCGGTGCACGGCGTGGCCTTCAACCCCTGGCACACCGGAGAGCTGGCCTGCGTGGGCCAGGGTGCTGTAACCCTGTGGCTCCTGCAGCGGCACGGGGCTGACATCAGCCTCCAGGTGCCAGGGTTCAGTTTTGGAGGGAGGGGTCTGGCTGGGCCCCAGGATGTCGCTGACCCACGCTGTCCTCATGTCTCTTCAGGCGCACCGAGAGCGCATCCCCGAGGAGGTGGGGGTGGGTGAGCTGACCTCGCTCTGCTACGGGGCCGCGCCCCTGCTCTACTGTGGCTCCAGCACTGGCCAGGTCTGCGTCTGGGACACGCATGCCAGCCGCTGCTTCCTGGCCTGGGAGGCAGACGACGGTGAGATCGGTGAGTGCCTGACAGAGCCCCCATGGCCCCCGACAGCTGAGGGGTCGGCCTCTCCCTGGGGCCCTGTCTGGAGTCCTGGGCACCTCGGGAGCTCACACCACCTCCTGCCTCCTAGGAGTGCTGCTGTGCTCGGGCGCGCAGCTGGTCAGCGGCAGCAGCACCAGGCGGCTGCGTCTGTGGGCCGTGGGGGCCGTGCCGGAGCTGAGGCGCAAGGGCTCGGGCGCTGGGTGAGCTGCTGCATCTGTCGACATGCCTGGTAGCCGTGTCCTTGACCTGGGCCGCAGGCCGGCACTCCGTCGCCAGCCGGGCCTGCTCTCTGTGGGAACATGCTTGGGCGAGGCCAGGGACCTGCAGACCACAGGCGAGGACAGGGATGTGCCCCAGGAGCACCGGGCTACCTGGGCTCTCGCTGCCACCACCCTTGCAACTCGCTGTCCCCACTCCCAGGTCTAGCTCCGTGTTCATGGAGCGCGAGCTGACCCTGGACGGGGCCATCGTGGGCGCGGTCTTCCATGACAGCACGGACATGGGTGTGGTGGGCACCGCGGCAGGCACGCTCTGGTACGTCAGTTGGGCTGAAGGCACCAGCACCCGCCTCGTCAGTGGCCACAGCAGCAAGGTGAGGCCGCCACGCCACTGGCTCGCTGCTGACATCTGAGGGGGTTTCCAGCCCAGACAGAGTCAGGGCAGCAAGGCCGCGTGCGCTCCCCTGCGTCCCCGCCCGCCCCCGGTTCCGGGTCCAAGCCCAGCTGTCAGGTCAGTTCATGGGTGAACGTTTCAGGGGTTCTCAGGACAAGAACTCCACGCGCCTAGAACCACACGCTCCTCCCTTGTTGACGTGGAGTCCACGTGGTGCCCGCTCACAGCAGCCCTGTGGCCTCACGGTCTGCTGGTCCTTCTTTTCTTTGCCGCTTTTTTCCCTTGTAATTTACTTCTCAGAAACCAGGTCATTCCTTCTGGATTCTCCCACGATCGGGGTTGGACCTGCCTCTCTGCTCCTGTGTTCGCTGGGGTCTGAGAGGTCTGGAGGCCCAGCCAGGGCCTGGTCAGGGCCGGTCAGTCCCTATGTCCCCTCCTCCTGGGTGAGCTGTCTCAGTGATTCCCTCGTCTGGAATGCCCCATCACTCCACTGGGGCTCACAGGAGGGAGAGTCTGATTGCTTTGTTCCCTTGGGAGAGAAACGGCCTTGTGAGCTCTCGAGCGTGGAGCCGGAACAGGGGTGCAGGGTGGCTCATGCTCCCTGTGGGACCCGGTCCCAGCATCCACCAACAGCGACCGAGGAGCTCAGTTTCTGAGTGTCTTTAAGAGCTGGTGGACGGACACGTGCGGGTCCGGGTCCCCCATGGTCATTTTTCTCTTGATGCTTGTGGTCCCATCCTTGGCCGGGGGTAGGTCCTTTGAGTTGGCTCCCGGATCTTTTTTTTAAATCTGTATTTTGTTTGGAGATAATGGCAGTCATGAAGGAAATCAGGTGTGAGATGGGTGAGCATTACATACTTTTTCTGTTCTCTTGGTAACGGCTTTATGTTGAAGTGTAATTCACATGTCATATGTCACTCATTTTTGATCTAGTCACAAAGTTGTACAACTATCACCACCAATCAATTTTAGAGCATTTTCATCATCCTAAAAGGAAACACCATACCCGTTAGCACTCGCCCCCCCTTTCCCCTCCCTGGCCCCTGACAGCCACTCACTGCCTGTCTGTGGATTTGCCTGTTGTGGACGTTCCGCAGAAGTGGAAGCGCACACCACGTGGTCCCTTCTGTCCAGCTTCTCTCACTGAGCACGATGTCCTCTGGTCATCGGCACTGTGACGTGTCAGTGCTTCACTTCTTTTATTGCTGAATCCCGTTCCATGCAACAGAGGGGACAGTTGTGTCTGTCCATCCACTAGGATGAGCACTTGGGTCCTGAGCCCTTGACCTAGCTGGTGGTCACTGGTGACTTCTCTCTCATGGAAGGACAGGTGTTCCAGCCTCTGCCTCTGCGGCTCTGCCTGGGACCAGACTCGGCTGTTTCTTCCCAGAGCCCCGGGCTCCTCCAGTGGGAAATGGACTCGGAGGTCATGGCCTGAGTCCCAGAGGGGCCCATCGCTTCTCAGCCAAACAGAGCTAAATTACTGTTTTTTAAGATAATATGCATCATGAGCTCACACTTAACACTTGAAATTCAGATTCAGGACTAGGCCGTTTTATTTCACCTCGTTGGTGTAAGGCATCTCTATCTCCTTTATCCTGCACCAAAAATCCTGCTTCTCAGTAATCACACGTCAGCTTTCTCCCTCCATACGGGCCCCACGGTGTCAGGAGAAACCACGCCCACCACCAGCTGGGGCCTGGAAACGGCTTCCTTTACCTCGGTCTGCAGCCCTCTAGGGACGTACAGGCATGTCACTGTGCTTTAGGTTCTGCCAGAACGGTTACTTCTGTGGTACCTCACCAAGTGGACAGTCAAGTTCAACTGACCAGTGGGCTTCTTGTGATTCAGATGCCACCTGGGTATAGTGTGGGGACACTCAGGAGGGCAGTGAGGACGATTCCTTTACATCATGTAGAGGTGGCTGGGGCCAGGTGGGCTTGAGGGGGATGCTCTTGTCAGAAAGACCGGCCCCCTGTGTCCCCTCTCCGCCGAGGACCATGTGGCCTCAGGTGGGGCTGGCTGGCTCCCTGCAGGTGAACGAGGTGGTCTTCAGCCCCAGCGAGTCCTACTGTGCCACGTGTGGTGACGACGGGAGCGTGAGGGTGTGGTCCTTGGTCAGCATGGAGCTGGTCATCCAGTTCCAGGTTCTCAACCAGGTACTTGGGAGGCGCCTGCAAGGGAAGACCGAGTCCCGGCCCTTCCTGTCCGGGGAAGGGCTCTGGCAGCTCCTCCAGCCTCGGAGTCTGTCTGCGGCCTTGGGGCAGGCCCCTGTCCCTTCCCTAGGGGAGTGCTGATGTTTCCCTGCGTGGGTCCCCAGAGCTGCCTCTGCCTGGCTTGGAGCCCCCCGTCCTGTGGACGCCCAGACCAGCAACAGGTGGTGGCGGGCTACAGTGATGGCACGCTGCGTGTCTTCAGCATCTCTCGAACCTCGATGGACCTCAAGATGCGCCCCTGTGCAGCTGCGCTGACGGCCATAGCCTTCTCTGCTGACGGTGAGGGGCGAGGGCTCACCATGACGGTGGGGCCCCTGCCTCGCCCAGGTCACACATTTGGGCTGGGGGCTGGTGCATCACAGGGTAACAGCATGGCCCCTGCCTGGCCCAGGTCAGACCATCCTCTCTGGAGATAAGGATGGGCTTGTGGCCGTGAGCCGCCCCTGCACGGGGATGACCTTGCGTGTACTGAGTGACCACCGGGGAGCCCCGATCTCCGCCATCCAGACAACGAGCAAAGAGGTGAAGTGGCCTCATGAGCCAGCAGGGTGTGGCCTGGCGGGGGGGCGGCAAGGGAAGGCAGATTGGGCAGGGCGGGGCAGGAGGCACCCACTGCCTCTTACCCCCAGTATGGAGACTTCGGAGTGGAGGGCACGGACCTGTGGCTGGCCGTCAGTGGGGATCAGCGGGTCAGTGTCTGGGCCTCCGACTGGCTGCGGGACCGCTGTGAGCTCGTGGACTGGCTGAGCTTCCCGGCACCTGCCCTCATGGAGGTAAGAGTCCTCGGTGGCAGCGCGGGCGGGGATGGTGCCTGGCCACCCCACCACAGCATGCTGTGCCCCTCCACAGTCTCCCGGCTGCCCACCACCGTCCCTCGCTGCTTTCTGCCCCTGGGACGGAGCGCTGCTGGTGTGTGCGGGCCTTGGTGTGCACCGGGACGTGGTCTTCTACAGCCTCCGCCAGAAGCAGGCATGTGCACCCCGCCCACGTGGTGCCCGGAGCCAGGGACCCGGGGCTGGGGAGGGGAGGGTCATGGGACTGTGGGAGCCCCTGCCCAGGGCCTCACGGTTACTGCCCACAGGTGGTGGAGAAGATCCCGTTGCCTTTCTTTGCTGTGTCCCTGAGCCTGTCCCCTGGGGCCCGCCTTGTGGCCGTTGGCTTTGCTGGTGAGTACTGCTGGGTATGGACTCAGGCCTGTCTTGAGTGGGGCCAAGTGAGCTCACCTGTGCCCCCACACTGAGACATGCCCCGCACCTCCGTGCCCTGGGTTCCTTGTCCCTGAATTGGGGTGAGGACACCTGCCCCAGGGGGTCACAGGGTCAGAAGATGAGGGGTGTGGGGCCAAGTGCAGCACCCAGTACCCAGGGCCTGAACAGAGGCACTCGGCTGCCCAGCTTGGGGCCTCGCAGGCCCCATGTGTGAAACGCCCCAGTGCTGGCGGCCCCGCCTTCGGCTGTGATGCCCCGGTCCTGCTGCAGCGAGCCCTGGGGCATGGAGGACATGGGCCTTTCCACCCAGGTTCCCCCATGCGGCGCTAGCGCCCAGCTGGAGACAGAGGTAGGGTGGGTTGGGGGGCCCTTGGGCCCTGGAGCTGCACAGACGGGGCCAGGGCATGTGCGATGCTCCACCGCCCGGGCCCACCCCCATGCCGTCTGCCCGCAGAGCATGTGCTGAGGCTGGTGGACTGTGCCTCAGGGGCCACGCAGGACTTCGCTGGCCACGTCGACTCGGTGCAGCTCTGCAGGTTCACCCCGTCCGCCCGGCTGCTCTTCACGGCGGCCCACAATGAGATCTTGGTGTGGGAGGTCACCAGCCACTGAGCGCAGTGAGGACCGCGGGGTCAGGTGCGCCCTGCTGGTCAACTTGGGTGCTTGGCCAAGAAGCTGTGTTGGCCGAGGGCTTCACGCGGGGCCAGGAGGGCTCGGTGGGCTCAGGGCGGTGTGTGAATTGTCAGGACCTTGAGCATACGTAAAGTGCTCATTGGCTCTTTACCTGAGGGCTTTTCTATGTCTCTACCTTGTACAGTTCAAATAAATGTGGGCATTGTGTTAGCCTTAAAGATAGCCTGTTATTTTACCAGCAAAATGAGTTTATTTGGGAAAAACCAAAGAATAGCAGTTTGGGACCGGCATGCCATGGCAAGTCCGACAAACAATGGAGAGAAATGTTATTTTATAGAGAAAAAGGAGGAAATTGGGAGGGGTTGTTTTGAAGGAAAGTCCACTGGAGTAAAGCAGGAGTTCGGGTTGTGATGGCTTCTCAGTGGCTGAGCTGCTGGGGTCGTGGATTTCTGTTGGGATGCAACGGTACATTTCTTCCTGTGATTGAGATTCTTTCCTGTTGACACTTCTTTCTGTGGGGTCTGTAATCAACCATCTTCCTGCCTTCTGGCCTCCAGACTCCACTTTAAATGAAGTTTCCTTTTATTAATTTTCACAATTGCATTGTTGGCTGGTCACTCCAGGCCCTGCTGCTCTGGGCCTGGCCCTCCCGCCTGGCCTGAGCTCAGCCTCTGCCCAACTCCCAGACCTCCTGCTCCCTCCCAAGGACCATGCCCTGGCAGCACCTGTCCACCTGCAGGGGCTGCCCTGCTCTGAGTGGGTGGGTCAGCGCCACGCGCGGAGCTGCGGGGGCGGGGCGGCACCGGGGCAGACCCCGCCCCC